GTGAGCATTGAATGGACTCCGCGGGAAATCGGAGATGCAGGAATGTCAATTCGAGTCGCAGATGTCACACAAACAAGAAGCTCTACTAATTGGAAGTCAGTTCTGGGCGGACTCTGTTTCTGTCCGTGTGCAGGGTCCCTATGCCAGGAGTCCTAGGGTGCAGAGTCTGCTGTGCATCACCACCAGTCACTTGTGAATTCTGAAAAAAGACCCCGAGCCACAGAGGAGAAGAATAAATTAACCCCGCAGCTCACCAAAGCCACGTCCCCTGGGCCAGGACACAGTTGTTGCCTAAAATACCCCTCTCTGGGCTTTGCTCGCCCTAGTTTCAAAGGCCAGCACACCACCCAGAGTTCCTGCTCAGGGGCACAGCCGCAGGCCTCCCGCTCTGTGTGGGACATCAAGGACCTTAAACCTCAGCAGAGCGACAGCCCTCGGCCGCCCCCAGCGCCCCTGCACTTGAGAAGCGGTGCTTCGCCTCCAACGCCTTTGCTTCCCGCCAGCAAAGCACCTTTCACTCTTACCAGTGTTCTGGGCAAGCTGACCTTTTGAAACCTTTCATTTTTTTCGTTTTTTATTTGAGCTCTGGCACCCCCAGAACCCCCGGCTCTTCTGTCTCTCAGCTCGCCTTCCTCTGCCCCATCCTCTTCTTTGAGGGAGCCCTGGGGAAGCCTCCCCCAGGTGCCCCAGCTCCAGCTTTCCTTCCTCGCCGGCCCCTCCCTGCCACCTACGTTCTCCATCTCGGGTCCCCGGGGCCTTGATGACATCAGTCCTGCAGCTCACCTGCCATTTGCATCTTGTAGTCCGGAGCTCCTGACATCTTGCATTAGGTCTCTGTCCTGCCTAATGTTTGCTACGTCTCCCAATTTAGTATCATCTGCAAATGTAATTGCCACACCACGGCCTCCCTGTTCCTGGCTATTAACAAGGATGTTACAGCAGTTCCCGGAAGACAGTGTTTGCAAGGTCACGAGGAGCAGAGCGGGCCTGCCAGACCTCTGCCCAGCATGGGGAAGGGCCTCAAGAGCCCGCATGTGGTCTATTTCCTGAGTTTTGTGGACTTCCGTTCCCAGGCTGGGTTGGTTTCATGCTCCCTCTGCCTCGGCCACTGTCCATTCTCGGTGGTCCCTGTCTGAAGAATGAAGAGCATCAGCGTATGTCTTCCTTGTATTTTTGTCCAATTTCTAGCAGGAGGACTAGCCACTCATTGAGTATGCGCAGGGAAAGACGGTGCACATGGTCGAGACAAAGAGTCATGATTAAGGGGTCACGCGTTCATCTCTCCACCTCCGACGCACTAACTGAAAAACACACATCGAGGACCAGGGCACCTGGCCGAGGGCAGAGAAGGCAGGTCCCCGTGGGACGATTCTGAGGGCCGGCCCTCGGGATCTGCAGCCAAGAGGGGTCCGCAGGGGAGGCCCTTCGTCCCTGCTCCCTCTGTGACCACAGCAGACCGTGAGCCTCAGCAGGCACCGTCCCCTGCATTACAAGGAGTGGCCCACTGGGTGCGCTGACCTGCCTGCCGGCCACACCACACAGCCATTCCGTACCCGACACTGCCGAGTGCCCGTCGGAAGCACTGAATCGCAGGAAAGGTCCAGTGCAATGTTATTCACGCCGAAAACTGATGCGGCTTTACTCTTCCCAGCTCCTCCTTCTCCCACCTCTCACAGCACTGGGTCCTAGTCATTTCTCAGACAGTCCTGAAGGTGGCGGAGGACCAGAGCCCAGGCTGGCCCAGCAGAGGCGCCCACTGTCCACAGCCCTCCTGGTCCAGGTCTGCACTCTCCAAGCCTAAGAAAAACCAGTGTTCGTCCCAGCTGGTCAGCCCAGACTTATCACGCTCGGACACCTTGCTGGGGGTCTCGGAGGGGGCGGATGGTCTGTACCATGCGAAGGGCCTTCTCCGGCTGCAGACATCCATGTGCTCACGCAGGCAACGCTGAGAGGCAAAAAACACAGTGGACCCTGAAGCCTGAGGTTGAATAGTAGCCCTGCCTTGTTCAGAGCTGTGTCACCTCAGGCCAGTCCTTTCACCTCAGTTTTCCCACCTGTAAAATGGGATAATAGCCTCACCGACCTCGTAGGAGTGGAGATGTTAAAGCTGCCATGTGTCATTTGCTACATCTGGAGCAGCAGCCCCACTCCAGACACTGTTGAGGTGGGAGTCAGCAGACTTTCCATAAGGTCCACATAATCTTCTCTGCAGCTCTGCTGTGGTGCCCAAGAGCAGTCGTAGACAATGTGTGGAGCCCTGGCCGGTCTGGCTCAGCGGCTGGAGCATCGGCCTGCGGACCAGAGTCCCGGGTTCCCTTCTCACTAGGGGAGGGAAGGAAGGAAGGAAGGAAGGAAGGAAGGAAGGAAGGAAGGAAGGAAGGAAGGAAGGAAGGAAGGAAGGAAGGAAGGAAGGAAGGAAGGAAGGAAAGGGCTCGTTTAAAATGACCCTCAGGCAGCTTGCACTCTGGGTGGGCAGAGAGGCCGCGGGGGGCGCTGGCCTCCACCAAGCCCCAGGCTGAGGACAACCTTCCGGAAAGCCCCACAGTCCACAGCGGGCTCTGCCACCGTTTCCATGAGCTCCAAGCATCCAGGCTCCCCACCCAGTGCCCCAAAGGTGTGGCCAAAGGTTAATGGGCTCCAAATGGGAGACCAGAGGTATTTAAGGGCCGGCAGGGCCAACCCGACACCAGAGGACAAGCGGAGACCCTGCCAGGCCCACGCAGACCGCAGACCGAAGACCGCAGTCGCTCCTGCCGTGAGTAGCTGTGGAGACAGCGTGGGGGAGGGGCGGTGAGCATGAGCCCCTGGGCAGCCGGTGGGGAGCTGACTACCCCCTCAGTCCCTCTGCCACCTTCAAACTTAGCTGGGGTTCAGACTGAGCGCCAAGCGGATGTCGGGAGCAGGTGAAAGGTACACAGTAAGCAGAAGCCGGGCTGCCGGGGGCATGGAGCTCGAGGGGCAGGTGGGTGCAACTCCCGGCACTGAGAGTCTGTCTGGAGTCAGTGGTGCCTTTGCCTGCAGCCAGAACCCACGCGAGCTCAGCAGGGACCAGCACCCCATGTGGCATGGAAGCTTTGCCCTGGAAAGTTAAGGGGAGAGGCTGGTGCCCGGGAGCACAGGCCTGGCGCTGCTCCCGAAGGGCGGGAGGGGAGGGCTGGAGGCGGAGCCCAGCCCTGGGGCTGGCACCCAGCAGTGAGCTCTCCCACTCCAGCTCCCAGGACAAGAGAAGGTGGTGACGTGCCACTGCCAACTGGATGGAGGAAATGAGCAGCAACTGGGTTTTACCTTTATTTCAAGTTTTTATTGATCCTTATGGAGTGAATTAAATGCCAACACCAGAATGAAAAGGGATCTGTGCATCTCTGTGAAGGAAATAGGATGCCCTGGATGTGACATCCTCTCCTCTGGGAGGGACGAGCCCAGAGACCTGAGCGGGGACAGGAACGGAGGGGAGCCTCCTGCAGAGCTCCCACCCCGCCTGTCCTCTGTGCCCCAGGACCCTCCGAGAGGCGGTCCTCAGCGGGTGGCGTCCTGCCCACTCTCCGGAACCTGTACGCAGACAGCCCGGAGGCTCTGTCTGTCCGAGCGCTGGTGTTCTTGTTCCCGGAGCTTTAGCGAGGCGGGGAGAGGAGTGTCCTGCTGAGTAGTGGTTCACAGAGGAGAAAGGGCCTGCAGGGGCAGGACGCAGCCTTGGAGGATTGCCTCCAAAGGGAGACAGGGTTGGACCCATGGGGAAGCCTAGAGGCCAGCTTGGGCCGGACACTCTCCTACACAGCAGACCCCACAGGAGGCCCAAGCTGGGCCCTGGAGGCTTGTTATCTGAACACCACCCCCCCGGCCTGGGTGCTCGGACCCGGGTTCGGTCATCTCCCCAGCACAGGAGGTTGGTGACAGCAGTGCCCTGGGTGGGCCTGCCCTGCGGCGCCCTCCGCCCTCTGTGCAGAGGTAGCATGCGGGGGAGGGGGGATGCTGGGAAAAGCACCGGACCTCAGAAGGCCAGGCTCCCAGCCCCCACTGCCCGTGCAAGAGTCCCTCTACCTCCCCAAGTCTCCTCCCTCCCCAGATCACACCTGCCTCCAGGTGGGCATGAGGATCCTGTGGGAGGGGGCTGGGAAGGAATCAGCCAAGGCTGGCACCCAGCAGACCACACCCTCTCCCCACAGGACCCTCCTGACCCTGCCTAAAGCCCCTCCCGGGCCCTTCTCAGACTCTGCATTCCCACAGCCACCACCCCACCTGCTCACCAGGTCTCCGCAGCCCACCTTCCTGTCCACGTTCTGGACAGACACCCCCTGGGATGCGAGAGGCCCCCACTCCTCCCAGCAGGCGGGGGCGGGGCGGGGGCTTGCAGGGCAGAGGTGCCCCTATTGTTTCTGCATGGCAGCTAACGGTATTCCCAGGAGCTGGGGGGGGGCTTGCTCCAGAGCCAGTGCTGGCCCCCAAAGGGTGGGACCCTACTCCCTGCTCAGGGACGCTGCTCCATCCGGCTCTGCCTCCACTGGGCAGAGAGTCTCAGTCCTTTTCCTCCAGACTTGGGGTCCTAGCCTGGAGCTCCCAAGTAGAGTTGGGGTCATCTGGGCCTGGGTCCATCCCTTTCAATATCCTAATTGTCTGAGGGAGCAGGGTGGGGGGTTCCCTGGGTCTCAGGTCATCGTTCTATTGTAATCTAGGGTTTTCTCTCTGAACCACGAGGTCCCTCGCACTTGAGGCGTCTAGCTGACCCCAGACCTCACCTGTAATAAAGAGAAGGGCCCATAGTGGTATGATTCTTCCTTGGTGGGCGGCAGGGGCCAGGTGGCTTCCCTCAGTGTTTGGTCAGAGCTCAGGGCCCTGGGGCAGAGAGGGCCCGTCCCAGGCCCATGTCCAGAGAGGCTGAGCAGCCTGCTCAAGATCACACAGCCCAGCTGGGGCCTGGACCATGCTAAGGGCTCCCGCCCCAGGGCAGCCATCCCTCACTGCCCCCACACGGTGACAGGCGCTGCTCGCTGTGCGGCTCCAGGATGGTGTCCCGCAAGGCCGTGGCTGTCCTGCTGGTGGCTCACGTCGCCGCCCTGCTGGCCTCCCAGACGGAAGCCTTCGTCCCCATCTTCACCTACGGCGAGCTGCAGAGGATGCAGGTGAGAGGGCTCCGCTGCCGGCTCAGCACTGACGGGCTGGTCCTGAGGCGCAGGTGGCTCTTGGTCAGAGCCATGTTTAACCAGCTCTGCCCGCGACGCCACAGACAGTGCTAACCCCGACTCCAGCCTTGCTCCTGGCTGCCTGCACTAGTGCCCCCAAGGTGTCCGTGGGGCGCCCCCTTCTCCCACCCCTGCTCATCACTCTGAGGAAATCTTCACTGACGAGTCGATAAATATTAGCCGAGCATCTGGGTGAGGCTAGACGTACAGGGGATCTAAGGACCCCCTGTCTTCAAGGAGCAGGCGAGGAGCCGAGACACAGACACATGGACAAACACTCTCAATAGGAGACGAGGGAGATGTCACCAGGCAGGGGGTGGTCAACTGCCCAGTAAGTGCTGCTGTCCCTAAGCGCGGAGCTCAGAGGAGGGAGAGGCACGGTGGGCTGGTCCTGGGAAGCCTGCAGGGAGCAGGTGAGACCTGAGCCGGGGCCTTGGGAGGGCAGGAGGGAGCCCCGTGGGGCAAACTCCCGGGCAGCAGTGCCAAAGGCCCCTCTTCAGAGCCCAGGAGGAAGCAAGGCCGGCTTAGTGCAGGGCAAACGGGCCCCGGGGCGCAGGGCAGCTGGACTCTGGGCCGCCTCCCGGTGACTTACTTCAGACGCAGGGTTTCTGAGCGCCTGTGCGACACTGGTCGCTCTTCCACCGGAGGAGAGGAAGAAAAGGAACTGTGTGTCCCGCCAGTCTGAGACAGAGGCTCAGACAGTCTCTGGGAGGTCACGTGGCCGTGGTCCGGCATCCGTATCTACACCCTCTATCCAGGACAGGCACCCACGTTCCCACTGAACAGCGCCCCTTGCAAAGGCCAGGCTGGACCCCGACCCCCTTCTTCAGGGACAGACATGGAAACTGACGGGGCACCATCCTCCACCCTGGCTCCCCCTCCAGGAAAGGCAACCGCTGTTCTAGGATTGGCACCTCTCAGGGCAGGCCCCGCGCTGGCTCCCAGGTGTCATCACAGAGGCCGAAGCACAGCGGTGATCTGATCGAAGTGCTTGGGACCTGGCTAGCAGGGTCCCAGGCAAGGTTTGGGGCTGGACAGAAAAAGTCAAACCCAATAGAACACAAACTAGCAAAATGGCAACCAAAGGACACTCGTCATTAGTCTGCTCCGTGGTTTTGCTCCCTGTAATCACCAGTCTCCGGGATTTTTATGGAGAAGCTGCAAACTCCTTCCTCCATAATTTATCCCCCTGTCCTGTCTCTTATAAATCACCTCCCAAGGACTCCAGTTTCCAGGCCACCCCATGGCGCCCTCACCGGCTGGCTTTCTTACCACCTTTTTTATAGGCTCTCTGCTAAGAAAAACACATTTTCACACTTAATATGCATGAAGGGCAGCCATTATTTTCAGCATTTTAACTTAATTAACAGTAACACTCTGGGTGCCATGTGTGAACTTCAAAGGAACAGATCCCTCTTCAAGTGACCTGTAGGTGACAACTTGAGGGCCAGTCTTCAGGCCACTGGTGTCTGCAACCCCACGAGCAGGAGGCACCTGGGGAGGAGGGGGTTTGTGGCCTGGGGGAGCTCGGGCCTACGGGCACCCTGAGCAGAAGCAGGCAGGGGCCCTCTGGGCAAGCTGAGGGCAGCGGTTCTGTGAGATTTATGCTCTGCCCCCAGGAAAAGGAGCGAAACAAAGGGCACAAGAAATCCCTGCGTGAACAGCAGAGGCCCGAAGAGGCTGTTCCTCTGGGCCCCGCGGAGCCCACGGAGGAGGAAGAAGGCAGAGTTATCAAGGTAAGCAGACAGGCCGACGACGTGGAGGCCGGGCGTGGGTTCCCCAGCCACAGAACGCGCCGGGGTACAGCGTGATCGACATTCCGGCAATGCACCCCTCCCAGGAGGGAGAGACAGACACCAACAATGAGACAACAAACCATGTTAGGCCCCAAATAAGAGGTATGATGAGAGTGGCGGGGAGGGATTTGGAGGCACTGCTGTGAATGAGACAATCAGGGAAGGCCTCTCAGAAGAGGTGACATTTGATTCGAAACCCGAATGATGAGAATGAGCCCCTCCATGCAAAGAGCTAGCGCAAGAACATCTCAGAAGGCGCAGTGAATGGCACGGCCCTGCTCAGGAAGCACCTGGGGGTTTGAGGTCCTCAAGGCCAGGGTGCCCTGAGAGAGGGCAATGGTAGAGCCTGGTGGGCCAGAGGCCACTGGGGATTCCAATCAGAGAATTCCCCGGATCTGATGTAGAAAGATCTGGACAGACGAGGGAAGGCAGGAGGCTAGTCAGGAGGCAGCTGCAGTCCTCAGGCGGGAGAGAGATGGTCAGGGTGCAGTTCCTCCCCCTGCACAGGAACCCAGGACACAGCTCTGTGTGACGACCCAGGGCCAGGACCTTCAGCAACACTTAGGATGCAGAGCGTCCGGGCCGGAGAGCCTCAAGTGTGCCCCGCACGGCTCTGTCATTCCACACTCCTGCGTCCTGGTGATGAAGTCTCCCGTGCCCTGCTGTGTGCGGCCTGGTTCCAGGCCCTGGAGATAGAGTGGCAAACAGAACTGACCAGTCCCCTGCCCTCCTGGCTCATGCGCCAATGGAGGACCAGAAGCAGATGCCGGAAGGACGGGCAGCATACCACAAGCAGGATAATAAGCCAACGGTGCAGTGCGGCAGGTTGTGAGAAGTCTATGGAGAAGAACAGAAAGGGAGAGCAGATGGGGTTGGTTGGTTAAATCGGGTGATCAGAGCAGGCTTTATGATTAGATGGCATTAGTGCAAAGACATGAAGAGCATAAGGGAGTGAACCAAAAGAATGTTTGGAGGAAGAATATTCCAGGCAGAAGGAAGAGCAGCGCAAAGGCCCTGCGGCAGGAGTGGGCCTGGTACATTCAGGGAACAGTGAGGAGGCCTGAATGGCTGGAGCAGAGGAGTCGGGGAGAGAGTGGGAGGTAAGGCCAGAATGTGGACTTCATAGGCCATTGTCTGGACTTGGCTTTCACTCCGCTGACTGGGAGCCCTTGGGGCTTTGAGCAGAGGAGGGACATGATCTGATTTACATTGATAAGAGTCTCCCCTGGGTTGAGAACAGGCTGAAGGGGCAAAGGCAGAATTAAGGAGACCTCTGGGGAGGCTGCAGTATCAGAGAGTCTCAGCCCCGTGGTTGTTGGGGAGGCAGAGCAAAGCGGTCTGATTCTGGAAATATTTTGGAAGGAGAAGTCCACAGACTTGCTGAAAGAATAGATAGGGGTGTAGAAAAGAAGAAAAGAGAAAACGGACTTCAGGGTTTTGGCCAAAACACCTGGAAGGATGGAGTTCCCACTCCCTGGGACGGAGAAGCCTGGGGTTCGCTGCCGGTTGGCAAGAGGAGGATCAGGAGGTCAGACTGGACCTGCACAGTGTGAGATGCTTGTTGGGCATCTGGGCAGACACAATGCACAGGCAGGTGAACAGCAAGTCAGGACTTCAGGAGAGGCTGGGGCTGGGGAGTCGTCAGTGATCAGGTGGAATTTCGGGCCAGGACCCGGTGAGATGGTTGAGTGGGCGAGGGTGGATGGAGGAGAGGCCCCAGGACAGCGTGAGGCCCTTCCTGCAGACGACCTGGGAGGGGAGGAGACTGATCTAGGGAGTGCGAGGGCCTTGCCAAGGTCACACAGTGGCAGGTAGAACCGAGCCGGACTCCACGCTTCCCGCCTCCTCCGGACACTGGCAGTGATCTCCCCGCCCCCGGGTTGCCACAGCATGATGTCCACAAACAGCGAGGTCAGACGTGGCCCAGAGAATGATCTCGTGCTGTCATGGCACTGGGTGGGGGCCCCTCGGGCTCCTGAGGAGGGAGCTGGGATGAGTCCTCAGCTGGCCCAGGGAAGCTCGCTCCGAACTGCCTCTCACGTGCACCGCAGGCAGTTAGGGCACCAGCTGGTGTCCACGGTACACGTTACAGCGATGCGACATCTCGGGAGGCGCTGCCAGTGAGATGCCTCTCGTCCCGTCCATCTGCCTGCAGCCACGACATGCGGGCCAGGAGGCCCAGGGGTCATCCAGCCCAGCTTCCTCATCCCACAGTGAGGAAACGGGGCCTGGAGAAAGGCACGGCCACAGCAGGGAACGGCACAGGCACCCAGCGCCCATTTCCCAGCCCCAGGGAGACTGGTTGAGGTGAAGAGCTGGCTTGGCAGCAAAGCCATTGTCCCAGGCAGCTCTGGGGTGACAGTGAGATCAGTCAATGCCTGGGCACCCCTGGCTCTGCCACGACCATCTCTCTTGGTGGCGAGCCCCCAGACAGGCCCCCTAGGCTCTCACCTGTGTCCCCACAGTGCTCAAGAAAGTTAGCCCGGTGGCCACTGACACTGACCCAGGAGACAGGCCCCTGGGTATGCCTTTTTATTCCACTACTTAGTACCTGCGTGGCCTTGAGCAAGTTATTCAACCTCTTTGTCCTCAGTTTCCTCATCTGCAAAATGGGACACTAATAGTCCCTGCATCATAGGGTTATTGAGAGGCTTCATAATAATATACTAAGGCACTTAGGATGACACCTGGCACATGGTGGTATATCCTTCAGGAGAAGGGGGAGGTGAATATCCTCCCCCCATGAAAGCCAGGGGGGTTCCTGCCAACCCCACACCTCCTGTCCCAGCTTCCCCACCAGAGGAGGTGTGTTAATCCTCCTCCCAGGAGGTCTCGGTGACTTCCAGGACCCAGTCCTGCGTTAGAACTGGGGTGCAGTGCCTGAATTCCCAGCCAGCCCTAGAAGCCCAAAGGATCCCAGAGGACCCAGCAGGGTGGGGCCAGCAGAGTAGTGGCCCCACAGGGCACCCAGAGGTTAATGGCACTCTCTGAGCCTCTCCCTTCCTTTTTATTTTTAAATATATTTTTATTGATTTTTTTAGAGAGAGAGGAAGGGAGAGAGAGAGAAACGTCAATGTGAGAGAAACATCAATTAGCTGCCTCCTACACGCCCCCTACTGGCGATCGAGCCTGCAACCTGGCATGTGCCGTGACTGGGAATTGAGCCTCCCAGTCCATGGGATGACGCTCAGCACACAGAGTCACACTGGCAGGGCCTCTCCCTTCTTGTTAACGGTGCCTTTTTCCACAGCTCACTGCTCCCGTGGAAATTGGAATGAGGGTGAACTCGCGGCAGCTGGAAAAGTACCGGGCTGCCCTGGAAGGGCTGCTGAGCGAGGTGCTGCTGCCCGCGCCCGCCCGGAATGGTAAGGGCGGGCGGGCGTCACCGCAGCTGGGCCTGGTCTCCGCCCACCCCATGTCAGTATTCCAGGAGGGAGCAGTTTGAGGAGGGCTTGGGGACAGCAAAAGGTGAAGCTGCTTTCTCCAGCAAGTGTGCCCTCCCCTCCTGTCTCTGACCCTAATCAGGGAGCAGGGCAGGCTCGATGGCTGCAGGTGCTCCAGCCCAGCTCCCAGCCAGGGGCATCTCCAGGCCCTGCCTCCATGGCTCAGGCCCGTCCCAAACACCTTTCTAGCAGATGGGTACAACAGATGACACCCCAAACCCTCCCCTGCTCCGAATACATTCACTCCCTCCCAAAACACCACTGAGGCTGCTGGTTACTCTGAAGAAAAAATGCAGTCTGGCCACAAAGCCTACATTCTGCAAATGGAAGCCCCATCTGGCCTTCCCAGTTCAAAGTCTGCCCAAGTTCCTTGTGCAAAGCTGGGTCTGTGCTGACAAACAGCCACTAATCTCTCCCAGGCCCCAGGAGGAGGAGCCAGCAGGGAGGAAGCAGTGCCCAAGGTGGAGAAACAGGTTAAAAGACTTGCCCCAGGCCACAGAGAAACCAGGCCAAACCTGCCCCTCCTGAGTGAGAAGGTGGTTTCATAAGCTCCTAAGCAGACCTGCTGACACTACTCAGCTGCACATCTCTGCTTCTCTCCAGCACACAAGTGACAGCACTCCGCTCGCCGAGGTGGCCGCCAGAGGTCTGCGTGGCCCGGCAGCTGGGCCTGAGAGGAAAGCACCCTCTCCTCCCAAGCAAATCCTCCCAAGCAAATCCCCATCCAGCGAATAAAATGTGAAATATACAGAAATGATGCTTTAATTTAATGTCTTAATTTCCGAAGGTCAAACTCAGGTCATGCCATAAAGGGGGGGTGGGGTGGGGGTGGGGGTATGAAGTCCTGAGGGAGTATGGATGTAAACGGTGTGTATATTAGCCAAATGTGCGCCTTTTCTAAGTTCTATGTCCAAACATTAATTTAGGCCAAAGAATTGGAAGATCTGCACTGGCCTTTCCATGACAGGTGAGGAAACTGAGACCCAGAGACATGGCATCTCTGCCCACACACTGAGTCTGTGGCTGAGCGAGGGCTGGGGCCAGGTCTCCGGAATCCTGATCCACTCTGTTGACCAACGAGCTCAGGTCTAGTGGGCCAGAGCGTGAAGGCCTCCCTCTGCACCAGCCCTTGCTGAGGAACTACCAGCGGGCCTTCAGTTCCCTGAACCTTTGCAAAAGCAGGGTGGTAAGATCTGCCTTGAGATGAGGGGCTGGAGGCATCATGAGACTATTATCATTATCACCTTGTGACTACATGCTCCAGCATCTGCAGCGAAATTACATGGCCGAGCCTGGCTGGCGTGGCTCAGTGGCTGAGCGTGGCCCCATGCGCCAAGAGGTCGCCGGTTTGATTCCCGGTCAGGGCACATGCCCAGGTTGTGGGCCCGATCCCCAGTGCGGGGGCATGCAGGAGGTAGCTAATCGATGTTCTCTATCATCAGTGTTTCTATCTATCTCTCCCTCTCCCTTCTTCTCTCTCTCTAGTATCAATTAAATAAAATAAAAAAATTTTTTAAATTACATGGCCAACCCACTTATTTCTGCCTTCTAAACAAAATTGGATGGATTTCATTCTAATGTAATTTTACATTCATGTTCATTTACTCATGAGCTAAGGCCGCACAGGAACCATCAGTCACCAGCAAGTAGACACAGTGCCCGTTCCGTATTTCCACCCATCCCAACTACTGCAGGGGCTTAGATGGTAGTTACTGAAACAAGGAGACCCCAACCCTTGAAAAGGACACCCCTCTGAGGTGCTGGGAATGTGCCCGAGGAACACCTGAGCCTGCTCGCTGCGCACTCAGTTTCCAATGCACGTGCTATGAAACCCAAGTGCAGCTGCAGGCTCCTGGGTGATGCCACCAAGACGTCAGGTAACAAATGGAGCCAGGTCTGCACAGGGCATGTGGAAGAGAGAGTGATACCATTGTAATTAGCTAGTTATTAACAACAGGGAAGGAGTAAATGGGAGACCAGACATTATAGGCATGTCATCTGGGCATCTTCACCAGGAAGCTGCAATTTCAGTCCCCCCAGAACCACCCGCCCATTCCTCACAGATCACTGGGGGAAAGGGTCCAACAAAGGGGAAACGGATGCATGCACAGTAAAGTCAGAATGACTTGGGGAAAATGTCTGTCAGTCAAACCTGGAAATAGAGATCGTTGGCCAGAGGGGGTAGGGCCAATGGAAGCCCATGAAAATGTGGGAATACAGACCATCCAGTGTGGCTCAGTGGACTGAGCGTCACCCCATGGACTGAGAGGTCCCGGTGTGATTCCCAGTCAGGGCACATGCCTGGGTTGCGGGCTCGATCTCCAGTAGCGGGAGGGCAGAAGGCAGCCGATTGATGTTTTTCTTTCACATTGATGTTTCTCTCGCTCGCCCTTCCTCTCTCTAAAAAATCAATAAAAACCTATTTTTAAAAAAATTTGGAGGGAATACATTATGCCCTAGACAAAGGAGCTCACTGTCTGGACTCCTGGCAATCTTGGTTCTTGGCTCTCTGGTTCCTTTGACTTTGCTCCTGCCTGTGTCCCCTCCACAGCCATGTGGCTCCGTGGACCCCACACACAAGGACTGGTGAGCTGCAGCAGGGAACACAAACTAAGCCAGCCAGAGGCTGGACTGAAATATGTCCGAGCGTGGAGCGAAAACTCTGGGCAGCAGCTCTGATCCCAGCTCCGCTGAGGCCACAGCTACACCTCTTCCTGGGCAGGATGGTCCACAGCCCGCCCACGAGCGTCTGGGGCCTCGAGCCTACTCGGGTGTGATTCCACGGAGATCACATCTTCTATAATGCCTCCCATCCCATGGGGGTCTGCGGAAAGTCTTATTCCAGCGGCACCCCAAGAGCACCACTCCCACCAGCAACCAGCGGGGACGAGGAGCGTCTCCCACTGGTAACAAAGGAGGGAAAGACCCAGGAATCTGTAAAGCTGCACTGGGAGGAGCTGAATCCAGGACTCCTGGCCCTGCCTAGCTCCACGCCAGTCATGGTGTTATCTGTAACACACTCCAAGAAGCAGACAAACAAAATGCTCAGTCTCTTTCATGTGAAAAACACTGATTTCCTATCGTGTCCTTACCCCCTGCTCAGACCTGCCCCTACGGTGTGACCACCTCCCCAACACCGGCTGGACTGCCTGTTTCTGGGCCAGGGCCCCAGCCCCCTGAGGGATTTTTTAGGACCCTGGGGGTGTAGAGAAGCCTTGGAATAGGTGCCAGGAGAGAACGGAGAGCCCTGGGAGGGGTCTGCTTCCTCTGTAAGGGGAACCGGGTCAGCAAGCACGGCCCCTGGGCAGCGTGAGGGTGCTGCCCACTTAGCCGGCCTGTCCGCCACCCTCACAAATGGACTTCTGGGCAACGAGCTGCCAGGGCCCTGCCACTGCACCCTCTGTGCCCCAGGCCCTGTGGAGGTGGGCCAGCTCCTTTCTCCTCTCCCTTCCTCCTGCGGCCATGTTCGCTCTCGGAATCCGCTCAGACCGTTCTTCCCAACCAGCTCCCCGTTTCCAGACTGGACTGCTTACAGGACCCACGCAGCCCTGCACACAGAATGGGGGGAGGTTGGGGAGAATTCTGTGAGCTGAGCAGAGAGAAAATGACTGTTTCCACAAAGCAGAAGTAAGGAGAGACGCCGCAGAGGAACGCTCTGGAAAGCCTGGACCGGCCCAGGCCAGGGTCAGCTGGGAGAGGGCCCAGGGGGCGGTCCGAGGACGCGGCTCCTCCTCACATCTCGCCCGGGTTCACCGGCAGAATCTGTGACTTCTGATACCTGGCAATTTCGGACAGTCACACAGCCCCGTCCCCGGGACAGCCTGAGGGTCATCAGGGCACCCGAACCTGGCTGTGCGGGGTGCGATGCCGAGGGTTTTCTCTGGAACATCGGTGTGATGTTATAATTACCGAGCTACGTGGATTTGCCGTGAAATTGAACAGTTAAAAGCAAAGAGTAATTGCCTGATATCTGTACTCTGTAATTTAGTATAATCTAATCATGGACAAAGTCCAAAAGAAACTGTTTTGAAAGCACATTTTTCTTCATACACAAATCCTTGCTGACACCGGGGACGTGTCCGGTGAGGAGCGCGGCCCACACGCCCGTCCCAGTGAGCGGGCAGCGGAGGGCGTCTCCTCTCCCGCCCCCTGGAAAGCAGGCGCCAGAACCGCCCGGAGCCCAGCCTGGCCTCTCTGTGGCTGCCCTTCCCTGACCTGGGATGGAAAGAGTCCTGTCGGGCGGGGCGGGGCCATTCCAGTCCAAATCGGAGCCCCAAATGGAACCCACATCGCGCCCCCTTTTCAACCACGCTCTCCCGGTGTCGCCCCAGCGTGACGCCACCTTGACGTGTTTGAAGGCAGCCCAGAACAGCTGAGGGACACACGAGGCCAGCGACAAGGCAGATCCAGGCCAGGTCCACAGTCCCCAGCATCTTTCCGCACCTGATAAATGTGCGCAGGGCTCTGCAGGGGGCCGGAACCCCCTGGGAGGGACGGCTGCTACTGTTACAAGGCTCTGCTGAGGCAGGCGGGCGGCAGCGCCCCTGGGGATGCCCAGTGTCCTCCCAGCAGCCCCTTGCCGCCACCAAGCGTGTGCATGTGGCTACTAAGCAGATTCAGACATGGAGCTCGCTTCTCCTCCTTTGCCTTTAATAGATCAGGAAGACTGACTGCAGCCTGAGCAGCTCACCTTTAAAAATAACAGCAAAGCGATGAGAAAGGAGGGCACACGGGCAGCCGCTGACTTTGCAATACTGTCCTGGTGTCTGAAATATGGTGCCCGTGCTGGCCACGGCCAGCTGAGGAACCGCGGGTACACACAGGAAGGCAGACTCAGAGAAGGCCCGCGGGCCTCCCGGGCGGCCCCCATGGGGCAGTGGTGGCAACGGAGCCCTGAGGCCCAGCCCTGGTGGGGGACACGGGCTCAGTGAAGGAAGAATGGGGACAGTTGTGTGGAGGAAAGTCACCGAAGCAGGGGAAGGACCTGGGCACAGACACTTGATGGCGGGCCAGAGGGTTATGACCAGGGAGGGACAGGACTGGAGCAAAGAGTTCAGAAGGAAAATGGAAAGGCGGAGACCTGGGAGGAAGGATTCACTTTCTCAGTAAGACGCTGAGGTTTCTTCTCACAGGGGTAGGAAGGAAGCACCAACGGGCAAAGGCCTGCTGGGCCCAGAGGACAGGGCAGGGACTGCAGGAGCCACCATGGAGGCAGAGGGTGGACCGTGGTGGCAGGGGAGGGGCGGGGCACTGCTGGAAACGTGAGGGTTCCAGGCCAGAGGGAAGGCACAGGGAGGGCCGGGAGGGTCACCTGGCCCCGGCTGTGTGTAGCAGCAGCAGCGGGGTTCCCAAACACAAGGAAAGCTGACACCCTGACAAAGCCCACCCTGGGACCACTGCTGGGCGGCTCTAGTTCAGGGTGGATTTTTAAGTCGCCCCAAGACCTGCTGGCTGCAACATGCCGTGGCTAAGTGGGTTGAAGAGTCCGTTTCAAGCCCTCCGCACACACAGGCCGGCGGCCGAGGCTCCTTCCTTGTGCACTGAGCAGCACAGCTGTGAGCACGGCACAGACGTGACAACTCATCTGTCATGCGAACAGCGCTTCGGAAAGAAGAAAATACTATTATGTGGTGTATGTGTCAGGCAATCACTATATCAAATTCATGGCATTCGGCACAAACACAGGCAGAGGAAAGGAAAACAACACTCCGTGAGAGAAATCACACCACATGGGAGCAGCTAAGTTGGGGAGACGGGAGGCAAATGACGGAAGCTGACCAAGCTGAGGCTGTAATTTTCCCAGCGATGTGGCCAGAGCAAGTGGCAGGAATGCAAACCACAGGCAGAGGGGCCTTGCCCACAGACCAGACCCTGAGGCACAGAAGGGGACGAGGTCCAGGTGAGCAGACCCCAGGCACAGGAGGGGACGAGGTCCAGGTGATCAGACCCCAGGCACAGGAGGGGACGAGGTCCAGGTGAGCAGACCCCAGGCACAGGAGGGGACGAGGTCCAGGTGACCAGACCCCAGGCACAGGAGGGGACGAGGTCCAGGTGAGCAGACCCCAGGCACAGGAGGGGACGAGGTCCTGGTGAGCAGACCCCAGGCACAGGAGGGGACGAGGTCCAGGTGACCAGACCCTGAGGCACAGGAGGGGACGAGGACCAGGTGAGCAGACCCCAGGCACAGGAGGGGATGAGGTCCTGGTGACCAGACCCCAGGCACAGGAGGGGACGAGGTCCAGGTGAGTGAGGGGACTGTGGGGGGGAGGAGCGCAGGGGCAGGGAGAGCTGAACTGCAGGGGTGGAAATGGAATGGAGCCCAGGAGGCCTGCGATAAATGTTTGGGAAAGGCAGCTGATGAGGGGTGTGGAAGGCGTACAAAGAGGGGGAGGGAGGCAAAGGAAAGACCGACAGGAGCTCCACTTCCATTTGCCGCCATCCCCAGGCTTCCCTGGGGCTTTCTCACTGAGCTGTCCTGTAAGCCAACAGGGCCCTGTGGGAGGTTTACTCGGCCTCACTGCCAAGACCTGGGTTAGTGGCTTAAGTACTGACACTAAGGAGCACAGGCCAGGCACTGTCCTAAGCATCTGATACAAATAACCTCTTCCAATCCTCCCCAAAGCCAACAGGGTTACCAACCAACAGGGTGGCAGTGGTGCACTTGGGATTCCAGACCCCCAACCCAAGTCCATCCCCTACCCATCTCACCTTGTGAAAATCGTACCATCCTGGCACAGCATCCTCGCAGAAGACTGACTGCCCACTTGAGCCCAAGGACATCTGCTCTTCTGCCCTGGCAGTGGGTGCCATGTGGTGTGCCCCCAGCAGGAGCTCCCTGCAGGCCTGTCCCACTGGGGCAGGAAAATGGACTTGAGGCCACAACCTGAGGTCAGCTGGTCTGGGAGCACACCTGGGGTCCACTCCAGGACCCAAACAAGGCCCTTCCCGGAGCGAAGCAGGGACCAATATCAGTCCTCAAGCAGAGAGGCAAAGTATCCATCTCTCCAATTTGGCAGTGGCTTGCCTTTCACCCTTAAGCAACCCATCCATTAAATCAATAGGACTTTAGTCGCTGGCCAGGTAGCACAGTTGGTTAGAGGGTCGTCCAAATACACCAAGGCTGTAGGGCACATACAGGAATCAACCAATGAATGCATAAGTAAGTGGAACAACATCATTGTTTTTTTCCTCTCTCCTTTTCTCTCTCTAAAATCAATAAAAATCCACTCATCTACTGATAGACACTGGGCTGGTTCCTGATCTTGGCCATTATAAATAGTACTGCTATGAACATAGGGGTGTATATATTCTTTCTGATTGTTGTTTCAGGATTCTAGAATATATTCTTAGAAGTGGGATAACTGGATCAAATGGCAGTTCAATTTTTAATTTTTTGAGGAAACTATGTACTATTTTCCACAGTGGCTGCACCAGTCTGCGTTCCCACCAGCAGTGTACTAGCGTCCCCTTTTCTCCACATCCTTGCCAGCACTTGTCATGTCCATAGATGAGTGGATAAAAAAGCTGTGGTACAGAGGCACAATGGAATACTATGCAGCTGTGAAAAAGAAAGATCACTTACCCTTTGAGAGGACATGGAGGGACCTGGAGAATATTATGCTAAGCGAAATAAGCCAGTCAGAGAAAAACAAATACCACATGATCTCACTTATATGTGGACTCTAATGAACAAAATATACTGAAAAACAAAACAGATCCACAGACATGGAAGCAGGGACCAGACTGTCAAACCTCAGAGGGAAAGGGGGTGGGGGTGGGGGAGATAAACAAAAGAACTTATATGCATATATATGCATAACCAATGGACAATGGACACAGACAACAGTGCGATGAAGGTGGGGGTGGGGGCAGCGCCAGGAGGAAGGGGTCAGTTGGGGAGGGGCATCTGTAATAGTTTCAACAATAATGATAAATTTAGAAAACAATAAGTAAATAAAATAAACATGTCTTTAAGGTGTGCCTACCACGTGCCAGGAACTGCGCAAGGGGTGGACGCTTCAGACATAAACACCTTTGAACCCATCAAGGAGGGGAAAGAAAAAATAATCCCTCGGACCTCCCGCACATGGCGGCCGTAATGGCTGAACACGACCCCCTCATCATGGCGGCCCGACCTCCCCAACATGGCGGCCGTAATGGCTGAACACGACCCCCTCATCATGGCGGCCCGACCTCCCCAACATGGCGGCCACGACGACCTTCCCATCATGGCGCAGGGCCCCGCCCGCTCCGCCGCGGCCGCGGGCGGGAGCAGTTCCGGGTGCGGTGCACGCCGGGGGCGGCTCCTGGCCATGGCCGGCCTGTCAGACCCGGAGCTGCGGCGGGAGCTGCAGGCCCTGGGCTTCCAGCCAGGACCCATCACCGACACCACCCGGGACGTCTACCGCAAAAAGCTGCGCCACCTGCGGGGCGAAGTCCGGCTGCGGGAGGAGGCGCGGCCGCGGAGCGAGGAGCGGCTGCGGACCGAGGCCCGGCCGCGCGAGGAGGCTCCGCTGCGCGCCCAGCCCGCCGTGGCCTCTCTGCGGGCGGAGCCCTGGCCTTCCCCGCCGGTCCCGAGCTCGGCTTTCGGCTCCGCTGGGGCCTACGGCGATTTCGGGGCCCCCGCGGCCTCCCGGTCCGAGAGCCGCAACCTCGCCTACCCCGCCCGCCCTGCGCTGTTCAGACGCCGCGCCTCGGGCCGGGGCAGCTCCGAGGAGGATGAGGACGCCCGGCCGCTCCACAGGGCCGCGCCTGGCCTCAGGGCCCGTCGCTGGTGGGCTGCGTCCCCGGCCCCGGCGCGCCTGCCCTCCTGCCTCGGCGCCGAGCCCCGGCCCGGCCTGCGGCCCACGCGAGCGGGCCCGGCGGGCGCGGCGCAGGCCCGGCCCGAGGCGGGGCGGCGGCTGGAGCGCTGCCTGTCCCGGCTCCTGCTCTGGGCCAGCCTGGGGCTGCTGTTCGTCTTCCTGGGCATCCTCTGGGTGAAGATAGGCAAGCCCTCGGCGCCGCAGGAGGCGGAGGACAACAGTACGTCCAGGGCCGGCGCAGGGGAGGGCGCTGGGCGCGCGGCCGCCGCACGACCCCCGTGCTCGGCGCGAGGATGCAGTGCCCGCGCCCGGGCGGTGCCTCTGGTTGTGTTTTCACCCCCAGACCCGGACTGGCCTTCCTCCGGCGGTGGGAGAGGCCAGGATTCCTGCATCTGCAGTAGTTTCTGCCTTCACTTCTGTTCTGTTTTCTGCCCTACCCTCCCTACAATCTCCCTTTGGACCACGTGCTGGAAGCAATCATCATTTGTAGTTACTTTTACCCCAAACTCTGGTTTCCCTCTCTAGAAAAAGCCCCCCCACCCCAACAGACACATCCACGCGGTCCTTTTTAGTTCTTCCTTCCCTTCTGATCTCGCTCAGTCACACATTAGTGCCCATTTGAAGGCACCTCGGGTTTCCTGCCCACAGATGGGATCCGGTTGGGGTCCCAGCTTTGCAGCAGCAAAAAGGCCGAGTGCCCGCTTTGGACCACAGGGCCTTCATTGTCAAAGGGAGATTATACTAGCCAGTAATTATACTAATTGTTGCCAGTGCCTATGAGACAGGTGTGGAAGAACCTTTTAAAGAATTTAAACTGATAAAAAGGGAGGCATTTATCATTGCTTGCAGCACCCTCTCAGAGTGTGTTAAGAGGGAGTCCTGTGATTCAGGGACACTCCCAGTCAAGCCTCTGTCCACACTTAGCAACATGATTAGAGGTGCCAATAAAAGGTCCGCAGGATACAGTGTGTTTCCTGAATAGTTGAGGATTGGTGTGCTTCCTAACCTGCAGATTTGCCTCTCCAGTAATCCTGAGGTCTAGTGTATAAGGAAACAATAAGTATAAAGTGACACTGCAGTTCACCATAAAACAATATTCTTTGCAAAGCATGAATGTGATTAATACTGTACCCAGAGTTGAGCCACATCTTCCCATAGCTAGCAAGAACAGCCAAAGTGCAGGGAAAAGCTAAATTACGTCTTAGCTGTTGCAGCAGATGGGTATTTGGGTGTATGAACAAGTCTGTGGGCACGGGGATCCCAGGCTCATGTGCAAACTCAAATAGTTCTTGACTATGAGAGCAGTGTATCCACCCGCTAGAGAAAAGCAGACCTGGGAGTGTCCTGTACTGTAACTACACTGTGACGCAGTGTATTGACACACTCACTGCTGAGATGCTGTAAGACAGCAGCTCTTGGAGCTATCCTGGGATTCACCTGGGTCCCCTCCCGAGATAGTATTAATCCCTGTTTAACATGTCATTGTGTACAATAGATAAAACTGTCATTTATGTTGCTTTGTTTGAGGCTAACTACCTGTGTTAGGCAAGGAAGGCTTTATTGATCCTGTTTTATGGATGAGGAATAGAGGTTCAGAGTGGTTGAGTTACCCAGAGCCCATGGCTAGTAATTTCCAGCTGGGATCAGGACCCTGCTGTCCTAATTCCTAAACCAGGGCTGGGAAACCCTTACATTTTGTCTGCATTTTCAAAGTGTCTCATCTAGATGACATTTTTCTAATCCCCACCTTCATGTTGGAAATGTTTTACTTCCCCTGAATTTTGAGAGGGGACCCTGTTTGTACTTTCTCAACCCACACTTTTAATTTCCTCTGTGTTTCTTTTCTTGGTCTTAGTGAAATTATTGCCAGTGGACTGTGAGAGAAAAACAGATGAGGTGAGTTTGAGTTTCTCTAGCTTTTATTCCTCCTGAGTATGATTGCCTCCATCAGGGGGTAAACTTGCCCAGATAAAGATCATGCTAGGATCCTTTTCAGGAGTACTTCCTGTAATGTACCAGAACCAAGTCCATCCTGTGGTGTGTGCGTCAGACTCAGCTGTGGCAACGAGGAGCCCTGGAAACAGAACTGAGCTCCCCAGATCCAGCCAGGGGCTTTGATCTTCTGCCTAAGTCAATCTGGGGGATGCAGTGGGTTGTGGTTGAAGGACCTCTATGCTCCCTGGCTTTGGGAGGAAGGGCTGGCACTTTTTAAGCGATGAGGCCATGTCATCAATTCTACACTCTCCCCTATAGTACTTTTGTGGCTCTGAAAATGCTGTTCTGATTTGAAGCATTGTGGGGAAGGGGGGTGTTTTAAACACATCTAAAGTGGAATTAGCCCTCTCAGTCTATAGATTTCTTTTATGAAGCTTTAATGTTCCCTACAAATAGTATTTTGGGACGTTGAGCAGCCCCATCCACTATGAAAGGAGCATTAGAGAGGAGCTGGGTGCTGGTACAGGTGGTAGGCTGGGGGAAATACGAGGCAGTAAATTTTCAGGTCATAAATCCTCTCAGGAGGCATCTTGTTCTGCCAGAGGGCATGACTTAGTAGTCTAATTATTAAGTGTGCAGTGCCGGGGTTCACGTCGCTCGCAGCCCGGGGGCTGGGAGATGAATGGCACCTGGTCATCTCCAAGGCCCTGGTTGACTCTCTTATCCCTGTATCTGAAGGGGCGTTGTGGTTAGGTACCCAGTGTTAATTCACTTCGACTTCTGCTGTGTCATATTTGGGTGTATTTTTTTTACATCCATTTATTGCATTCATCCACCAAATATCTTTGCTTTCCAATTGTTTTATAGAAACATATTCATAATAATTTTCATTTTCTTTCCATCATAAAAATCACAACTGATGATTAGAGGAAGTAGCCCAGAAACCTAGGCAGTAGCTAGAGAGGGAACTAGAATTTTGAAGACTGAAACCCAACACAGGGAAAAAAAATAACCTCTTTAAGACTTCTCTGGTGATGCTAGTTTTGCTTGTCTTTTAATTAGAAAACGCTCCCTGGTTTCTGTTTCTTGAGCCTTCATGTCTCTAAAGTATCCGGCCCACAGCTGAAGGACAGATTTGTTCCCTGGCCCTCCTCTGAGCACCCTGCTCCAGAGAGCCCAGCCAGGCTCAGCCCTGGCCCTTGCTAAAGGTGTGCTCAGTGAGCGTGCAAAACCAAGGTCTGGCCATCATCTTAGGCTCCGTTGAGCTGAGATTTCGTGGGGTGCCCTTGCCTTCATGGAGGAAAGACTCCGGAACAGGCAGGTTGGGAGGCACTTCTGGGCTTTGCTGAGGGTCTTGCTAAAGTCTCATTCTTTGTGTGGCTCTGGCTCACCCAGGCCTCTGCGGAGCATTTGCGTTTCTTTCCCTTCTCAGCGACTTGACACTTTGTATTTTTCTTTCTGCCTTTGTGCTACTGAAAACACAGGGACAGGCTGGGAGTAGGAGTGTTGTCTTAATCAGGCTGTCTTGTTGTCTGGTACCGTCTGTCCTGTTTCCTTTAGGTGGTAACAGCCCTGCTTTGCCTAAACGTTAGGGAGTTGGAACAGTGTTCATTGCTACTGTCTTTTTTCTGGTTGTGACAGCAATAGATGTTTAGTGTAGAAAATTTGAACATGTGACAAAAATCACCCATGATTCTGTCACCTAGAGATAATTACTATTAACGTTTTGGGGGTATTTCCTTCCCATCTTATCTCTGTGTGTGTATATGTATAGAATTGGGTTCTTGACGTATATACAATTACATTTAACACTTATTTCGGCATTTCCGAATTAAACATTCTTCAAAATAGTTTGGGTGCTTTACTAGAAGACACGTGAGTGTTTCTGAATATTTATGGTCGTGTGTACACATCTTAATTACATCATTTTGTACCATGAAAAGGCTTTGGATCTTTAGGCAACGTGAGGAGACATCTTGACCTCTGAGTGTTAGAGACCAGGTCCGTCCCATTTCAGATGAGGGCAGCTGGTGAGCCCTGGCGAGGGGAGTGACTTCAGTTCCTTCTGTGGTCATAGAGCCAGGCCCAGAACCCAGCCTGCTGGCTCCCAGTCCAGGCCTTTGCCCAGGAGGCCTGAAATGGGGCAGCGGGGTGGGCTTGGAGTCAGCTAGCCACCACTCATGAGCTGTGGGCTCTTGGTGGCTCACCTCCGGTCTCTGCACCTCGGGCTCCCATCTGGGAAATGGGAAGGAGTGCGGTGAGTCAGTGCGCGGCACGTATAAACCGCTCAGCCTGCGCCTGGCACTGCATCCACTCAGGGCTGAGCAGCCTCTTTCAGTGTGAATCCTGCAAGCCTGGCAAGGCGGCCTCAGTTCTGTCACGGGTGCTGGAGGAATAGGTGTGCGTGCTCCTTCTGTTTTCTCATGCAGATGGCTTTTCTCCCCTACAGTTTCAAGATTTCTAAAATTCTGCGTCTTTAGGGGAATCCAGTCTAAAACATTTGCAGCAGATACTCCACAAGGCAGACAGTCCACGGGCAGACTGTAGACACTTGAGTCTCCAAAAAGGGCGGAGGTGGCAGCAGGGGAGCTGAAACACAGCGTGGGTTTGCTTTCCAGGGGGACTTACCTCCCACAGCCACCTTGCCTCTGCTCCACGGCCCCATCAAATGGCCGTTACTTCAACGGCACCGTGGGGTAGAGGCCGGGGAGCCTCCAGGATGGCCTCCCCTTAGTTACTGTCTGCTGTCACTCCGCCCCTGCGCTTGAGTTCCTGTCAGTCAGCCAGCCCCATGTTTATCGACCCTGTCCTCGGGCCACCGTTTTGCAGACTTGGTTTTTATTTTTTTTAAGTAGGAGGTGTTCCTAGCCGTTTAGTACTTGACAGTGTGGCTGATGAGGTAAAGCTAGACAGACACCCCACCCCCTTGCCCTTGCCCACCGGCCTTGCTGACTGCTTGTCCTGTGCCCTCAGTTCTGTCAAGCCAAGCAGAAGGCGGCCTTGCTGGAGCTGCTGCACGAACTCTACAACTTCCTGGCCATCCAAGCTGGTGAGTAGGTTGTGGGCCAGCGGCTGGTGGGTGGCTGAGGCATTCTGTGGTCTCCTCCCAGAAGACATATTCAGAAACTGTCTCCACTTCCCCACGTCCCCACTCAGACATTGATTTAAGCCTTGCATTTGGGCAAAATGCATTTGGTTCTCACATCCTGTTGAAGGGTCTCGGGGGCCTTGGAACACGCATAAGCCTTTCTGCAACTGTGCACCCTTCTCTAGATAAGCTCCACCTCAGGCTTTGGTCTTTCTCTTTTTTTTTTTTTAATTGATTTTTAGAAAGAGAGGGAGGGAGAGGGAGAGAGAGATAGAAACATCGATGGATCAATTGGCCGCCTCCTGCACGCTCCCTACTGGGGATTGAGCCGCAACTGGGGGAATGTGCCCTGATGGGAATCAAACCCGTGACCTCTCCTTGCACAGTTTGATGCCCAACCAACTGAGCCACACTGGCCAGGGCTCTCTTTTCTTTATACAATGAAAGTCACGTGCTGACCTCTAGAAGAGGCATTCTCAGCACCCCAGGAAAGACGCCTGAAAACTCCTCCATCCAGAAGGCTCCCCTACTGTTTTATTTGGTAAATGCAGTCCTTGAGGCCAGAGACATCCCTGCATTATTGTGTCCTTCCCCACACCTGGCGTCTAGGAGGGCTCTCAGAATCACATGCTGCCAGTGGTGCGTGCCCAGGGCTTGTGCCTGTATTAAATATAGTTGGCGAGAGAAGCAGATGGAGCTGCTCAGTCTACGGATGTTCAGGAGGTGCCTCCTATCTATAGGCCAACCCTTGTCTAAGGTTGTTGCTGGGGTTGGTCAGGGTTGGGTGGACTTGTACTGGGGCCTCAAGGCCTAGTTTGTGGGCCTCAACTCTGCCGCCTCCTCCCCCTACTGATGGGAGACTGGAGGTGGTCAGGGAGGCGTCTGTGAGTTCCCCAGAGGAGCGCTAGGAGTTGGGGCTCACAGCATCACAGTTGTCATGGGCATTTCCCTATGACCTAGGCGCTTGGGATATCAATTCTGGCCTAAAGAGGGCGTTCTAAACGTTTGTGCGTTTGTGACTCGATTGTGGTTCCAGCACCAGCGGCAGCAGCTGGGAGCTTACTGGAAATGCAGAATTTCAGGTCCCATTCCAAACCTACTGAATCAAAGTCTGAGTTTGACGAAGGCCCCCCAAGGGATAAAGTTGAGAAGCTCTGCTCTTAACTGTGAATTTGGTAGACATTTCTCCTCCATGCTGCCCTTCATATGTGGTCTTCACTTATGCCACCAAGGGACCTGGTTGCTGCTGTCCTCTGACAAGCCTAGCAGGGGCAGCCCTGCGGGTATGCATCTCAATGAGGCAGGCTGCTGGGGGGGGGGGGGTGCTCTCTGCTAGGCCATCCTCCCAGATGGGTCCTGCTCAGCCCAGGGTCCTGCCACAGGCCGCATACCTCCCTGGCCCTGGTGATACAAGATGCCATTGGCTGAGAGCTGAGAGGACAGAAGTCCCCAGAGACATGATGCCTTTTAGCTAGAATGATCAGGAAAGTGTCATGGGCAGGCCTGAAGCTGGTAGGATTGGTTTTGTGTATGTGAGGGGGAAGGTGGGGCCAATGGAAATCACAGGGTCAGGGATGGAAACAGTTGGCTTCCTGGGGAAGGAGAAACAGAATGGAGTTTGGAAGGGTCACTTGGGCCCCACCGATGCCAGGCCACCGGGGCTCAGTCTTGCAGCAGTGAGGCCAGGGAGGCTTTTGAGCGGGAGTGACGTGCTGCGAGCCAGGTGCCAAGAAGGCAGATGTGGCAGCAGCTTGAATGGAGTGGTGGCATTTAAGCCGACTTATTTTAAAGCTTTAAAACGTGGATGAGAAAAGGTAAGGAGGAAACCAGTCAGGAGGCCATGGTGAGGGTCCAGACAGGCCTCAGCAGGACAGGGCGGGGCAGTCTGGGTGGGGGCAGGAGGATGGGAAAATCCAGCTTGGTCTCAGAGGACCCAGAAGGTCAAGATCAACTTTGAAGTAGGAAGGTCAGGCTAATTCATTCTCAAGATTTTTAATATTACCTTCAGCCACTCTCCCGAGCACACGACTCACCCAGACTGCCCATTCCAAGCCCCCAGACTGTGCCAGGTGAAAGGCAGCCAGACCACGTGTGAGGGTGAAAGATCTTTGTGTGCCCAGCCCTGCACTGTCCCTGCTCCAGGGGTCTAGTGGGGAAGCAGCTCATGGCAGGTGAACCACAGTGGGCATTCGAAAGCCAAGGGCTGTGGCAGGCCCTCAAGTTCAAAACAGTCTGGCCAGATGAGGCCCCCACAGGCTGAGGGCTTTTCAGAGGCAGTGACCTTTGGGCTAGACCCAAGAGGCTGGCAGAACTAGGAGGAGGCTCCCCTTCCATCCCAGGTGGGAGCTGGCACCCAGAGTACTTAGAAGGGAGCTTTGGGGCACTGCTGATGCCCCGCTGTTGCGCACACAGGTGCCCCCTTCCTCCATGGGGCATTTTGGGCATCTGCCCCATTACCCCTCAAAACAGTGGGCCTGGTGTTTAGCCACCTGCCAGTATCGTGTGTCAGAATCCCTGCAGTGCCTACGGCTCCCTGCCTTTCTTTTTCCCAGGCTGTGTTTATTTATAGCACCATTCCGGTACCTTCCAAAGCTATCTGTCTGATCCTTTTAGGGATCAATTGCAAGCAGACCTTGGTATTGGGCAGCTTTTTAGTCATTTAATGCAAATCGCCGCACTGCTTTGCAGGTCAGGTTTTAATGATCTGGAATCGATCCAAGCTAAGTGGCTTTTGATCTTGCTGCAGAGGGAAGGTGCCCATCGAAGCCAGAGCGCCAGGCCACGTGCTCCCTCTCAGGGCTGATGGCTTGATTCTTGCTGTATTTTTTTAGTCTATTTCAGAGGCGGTTTTTTTCACCTCTTTTTGTGTTTGGATGTGTTTTTTTCCTCCCAGGTAATTTTGAATGTGGAAATCCAGACAAGCTGAAAAGCAAATGCATCCCTGTCGTGGAAGCCCAGGAACACATAGCGGTAAGTAGGTGTGGTGCTCACACGTCCCCGGGAGGGCCTGGTGCTTTGGTATTGATTTTCAGACCCTGCATTTGTTTTTTCTCCCCTTTTCATTTTGTGTTTGGTTTTTTGGCTTATTTGCTTCCTTTTTTGTGTAACTTAGTTGAATGCTAGGCTCCCTTACATTAAGGCAACATTGGGGGAGTAACTGAGGCCGAGGTGAGCTGCAGGCCAGAGCAGGTCTGCTGCGTGTGTGTGGCTCACTGCTGACCAGTGTGCCAGCTGCCGCAGGCTGATGTCACCTGCTCATTCTCTCCCCGTATGAGCACTGTGTGGGTTGTTCGGGGTCCATTTGATTTCCACATGGCCTCAGGAGGATAGAATTATGGATATTTAGAGCTGGCAGGAACCTTACTCACCTAGTTCAGGTTTCATTTCACAGGTGAAGAAACTGAGGCCCAGAGAGGGGCAGGGAGTTGCCCAAGGCCACACAGCTGGGACTGGTTGCTGGGTCCCTTACCCCCACACTGTTTTTCATTTTACCCAAGATGAGCTGCCACCTCGCTGGCCTTTAGTCCTCAGAAAGTTCTGTGTTCTGGCTGCCTCGGGTCGTAGTGTTCCTGGTGTGCCTCTCGTCACCTCCTCAGGTGCAGCCTCTTTGGACTCCCATCAGCCCTATTTTCTTCCTGCCAGTTGGCTGCACATTGAGCAGAGCAGGGCTTTGGGGCATGCAGAGGACCCAGGAGAGGACGTCCTTAAGCCAGCAGCAGAGTAACATTGCTCTAGTTGCTCCACCCAGATGCAGACTGATCTTCTCCCGCCCTCCCACAGAATGTGACGGGCAGTTCCTCTGCCAGATTTGAGGCTGCACTGACCTGGATCCTGAGCAGTAACAAGGATGTGGGCATCTGGTGAGTGTGCGCAGGGCACCCATCAGCTGATTGCGGCCGATTCCCCAGCTCCAGCAGAGGTGTCCAGTCTGAAGGTAGAGGGCGGGTCTCCCAGCTGAGTGGCTGTGGGCTGGCTGACAGCTGGCCATGGAAGGAGGAAGCGCTAGGAATGCAGGGAAGAAGCAGCTTCAAGCTGAGACAAAGTGCAGTGTCAGGGTGGTGGTCTGGAGCCCAGCTGAACCCACTTCGAGTGACTGCACCTTTTTAATTCGCCACTCGGCATGGTTTTCTGGAGAAGGCATTTTTCTATATGGCCTTCCTCAGGTGCTGGTTTTCATTTGCAGATGAAATGATTCAGTATATGTTGGTTGCCCTCGGTGTGGAAATTGCAAAAGGAAATACTGGATTTTATTCTGACTGGGTAGTTCTGCCTCATTTCTCTCTGGTGAGCACCATTAGCAGAAACGGGGAGCCCTTTCGCCTCCTGAAAGGCCCCGTGGGGCAGAGGGGCGGGGAAACGCTGCCCAGAGTTTCCGACGGGAAAAGCATTCCCTGCCCCACTCCCATTTCTCAGGGTTTGTCATGGGCTCTGTGGAGGTTACAGCTTCTGCTACTAAAACACACTGGGGTTTTGTTCTGTTCCTCTGATCCCCCCAGATCACTAATTCCATCAGCTGTGCACCCAGCGCAGCCCTGAGGCAGCTCAGCCTGGAGCGTAATGCCTGGCTGCATGGCACAATTCAAATGCATTGGCTTAAAAAAAGAGCTTCCCTAAGTGGCTGAGCAGTTTTCCTGTGTTAGGAAAGGCGGGGACTGTACGCAGCTGTGCAGGAGGGAGTGGTGACACTGGCCTTGTCATATTGGGGAGGCAGCCTGGAGGGTGGCTGAGCTGGCTCAGAGGACCAGGGTTAGAAGTGGGTCATGAGAAACTGGGACACTTCAGGTACCAGCCATTCCAGTGTGCAATCCAGAGCATGAGCCTGTCACCGACTGGAAGGTGTGGGTGTCGGCCTCCCTCGGGTCCTGGTGCCTCCTGCTGGGAACCAGAGCGAAGGTGCTGTGCCAGGCGGGGCCTCAGAGAGCCAGGTTGCCGTGCCCTGTGCCTCGAGCACCTCCTCGTCCCTTCCCTGAACAGCTTATGTGCCCCCCCCCCCGCACCGAGGAGAAGCACCCTCCCAGATCGTCTTTCCGTTCTCACCCGCAGTGCAAAGCCAGGGCTTCAGTAAACATCTCCATTTCTCTGCTGGGAGGTGGGAATCCAATTTATAGTTTAATCTTTCACACGCTGAGAGGGGCTGTCAAAGACCCAACAAGGGGGCGTCACTTTAGCGGTAGGGGTTCAAGCCTGCTGCCTCTTTAAAGCTTCTTTCTTTCTAAGTAGCCAGCGTGGGAAATTTCTGGAAAGAGTGCACCGGGACGCCCAGGCCATTTCCTGAGCAAGGAGAGGCTCGAAGCCGCTCCTCTCCTGCCGCTCAGAGTGGGGCTGTGCCTTCTCAGAGGTTTTGGACGTGTTCACGAGCCCGTGTCCTGTTTCAGTTTGAAAGGGGAAGACCCATCTGAATTGGTGACAACCGTGGACAAGGTGGTCTGCTTGGAATCCGCCCGCCCCCGCATGGGTGTGGGCTGCCGCCTGAGCCGTGCCCTGCTCACCGCAGTCACCCACGTGCTCGTCTTCTTCTGGTGTAAGTCCCCAAACACCGTGCCTCCCCGGGGCCCAGCTCCTGACACCCCTGGGCCAGAGTGATGAGTGACAGGAACCCGCCCTGGAGTGCGCACTTCTGTCTAGTGAACCTGAGGTCTGTCTAATGACACAGAGGACATAGCCACGTCAGCCTCTGCCCTGGCCGTCTTACCGTGGAGATTGGAGCCAGGAGCATGAGGTTGCCCAGAAAATGCCCTTGACTCAGGGAAGCAGATTGTCCTTGTCCCTGAGAGGGAGGCTGGCCTGGGCTAGAGGTGAGCATTGTCCCTTCCAGGACCCCAGAGTGCAGGCCACTGCGAGGGGGGCTTAGCAGGAGCTTGGCCTAATTTTACTCCCTGAACAATGTCAGCATCCACTGGGCAGCTGCAGATACCTGATGAAAGCAGGAAGGACCCAGGGTGCTGAGCCAGAAGCAGAGTTCAGGCCTCGTCTCCTGACAGCAGGGCTCCTTTGAGCAGAGGCCTCGGGGAGTCTCTGACGGCGAAAGGCCGAGTCCCAGCACCCGCTGGCTCTGCCGAGATAGCCAAGTTAGAGATCACAGGCTGGGCGTGCGCACCGCTCCGCACCCACGCTGTCAGGCGCAGACATCATTAGCAGCAGCATCTCGGAATACAAAGGGCCTGGCATGGATATATGTATGAAACCCCGGGCTCCGGCTCACAAGGGAGGACATGAAAGCCCGGAATGAGGCTGGGAGGAGCCGAGCTCTGGAAGGCTGGAGGTGCCTCTGTGGCGACAGCTGGTGGGAAGGAAGAGGATTGCTACGAGCCTGTCCTCCCTTTGCATTTCCACGTCTTTGTGTCCTGCATGCTAGCCTGGGCCGGACACGTAGTCGGTACTCAGAACACATCTGCAGCTCGCCCACAGGCTGCACAGCGGGGTGGTGTGAGCCCTTCACGGAGCTTTGTTCCTGCACAGGCTTGGCCTTTCTGTGGGGACTCCTGATCTTCCTGAAGTACCGGTGGCGCAAGCTGGAAGAGGAGGAGCAGGCCATGTATGAGATGGTGAAGAAGATTATAGGTGTGTGGCCCTGGGGAAGGGCTGCTGGCCTCGCCAGAAGGTCCTGGCCCTAACCGTGCCCTCTGCCCCACAGATGTCGTTCAGGACCACTACGTGGACTGGGAGCAGGACATGGAGCGCTACCCCTACGTGGGCATCCTGCACGTGCGCGACACGCTCATCCCTCCGCAGAGCCGGTGAGTGCTGGGTGGGCCCAGTGCCTCGGGTGAGGCGGCCCCAGATCACAGGTGGCACCTCCCGGGCTCAGCATTTGATGTCAGAGTGCACAGCCCAGTGCAGCAGCAGGTCCCGCTCCCAGGGGGGCAGCACCATTAATGTTCTTGAGTTGGGGTGCTTTGGGCAGCATGTGCTTGGACCACCCTCCTCCCCCAGGGGTTCAGGCAGGGGAGGACCTGACGGGTTTCCACGAGTGGACGTCCAGAGTCATGTGGGCTCCAGGCACAGAACAGTCAGGTCTCTAGTTCCATTTCTCAGGTTCTTGTCCTGCTGTCCGCGGATGCTGTGGCTGGTGGAGTCCCTCATGCTCACGAGGTGGGGACCAGCGGCAGCGTCTGCCTTCTCACAGCCAGCACGGGGTGGGCTTCCTGTTCTCACGAGCCAGAGAAAACTCCCAGAAGCCGCAGTGACCGCTTCTTGAAGCTCTGCTGGCCAGAATTGGCTACATATCTACTCTTGAGTCAGTCACTTGAAGGAGGAGGAGACTGTTTTTAAACATGTTTAATTACAATCCAGTCCGTTCCCACCCGTGCGCACACGTGCATGCATGCAGGTGACAACAAAGTTGCACGGCAGTCCTGGCCGGCTTGGCTCAGCGGTTAGAGCGTTGGCCTGCGGTCCGGAGAGACCCGGGTTCGGTTCCCACTAAGGGCATGTACCTCGGTTGCATTTTGTCCCTGGTCCTGGTTGGGTCGTGCAGGTGGCAGCCACTCGATGTGTCCCTTTCACATCGATGTTTCTCTCTCTCTCTTCCTCCCTCTCCCTCCCACTCACTCTATCTGAACAAAAAACGAAAAAGGTACTCGGGTGAGGATAAAAAAAACCAAAATTGCACAGCAGCGAATGGAGTCCGCCTCCAGGGCGCACGTGTGTGGGAAAGGACGGCAGGCTTGTCACGCTCGACGCCAGGGCCACCTTCACGTAGAACAGCTAAGACGCTGCCGTGCAGGGGCCTGTGGTGGAGAGGCTGGCATTCAGGCATTCGCTCTGCAAGGGTGCGTTGGCACCTGCTGCCTGCCACACTGTCCCGGTCACGGGGGCGGGGGGGGGGGCAGGGAGAGGAGGACGCCTGCGGGAGTCCTGCTTCGGAGGAGGACACGGGAAGGTGCCCAAGGAGAGTGTACCACTAGGAAAGGGGAGCAGGGGGCCGGGAGGCGGCCTCGCGGCTCAGAGGTCGCTGACTAGCATGCACTCGTCAGGGCAGCAGGTACTGCTTGGGCTTCCCTGTGCAGGACACGTGCACTTCGAGGGAGCGGGAAGTGGCCTTGCAGCTCGTCATGGGCTGCGCCACCACGCCCAGCGCCTGTGCCTCAGCAGAGACAGCCGGCAGCCACCTGCAGGGTCTGAGTGACCTCGAGGCCCGGCCCTGCCACCCTCAGCCTCGATTCTTCTCCAAGCCAGCCCATCAGTGCAGCTGAGCTCTGGACTCATGGACGTGCGAGGGCCGCTCCTAGGAGACGGGAGGTGTGAGGAGCATGCAGTGAGGAAAGCAGGGAGCTGAGGACAGAAGCTGCTGGGCCACCTGTTCACTGCCCTTAATGGGCACCTGAGGACAGCGGCCCCACAGACCCCACATGGCGCTGGCTGCTCCCCTCGGGGCCCAGTGTGACGGGCGCAGTCCCTAGGCGTGTGTGGCCTTGGAGAGACCAGCCCAGAGGGGGCTGCTCAAGCTGTGGGGTTTGGTCGGTGGCAGGATCCGCCCCGGGGAAGCCGTCCTCCACAGCCCTCTGCCTCCTGACTCAGGACCCCGCAGGAGCTCCCCCGTGCCCTCCCCCAGGGGCGCGCCTCCTGCTCCCACTTTTATTTTTAAATCCTCATCTGAGGACTTTTTTTTTTTTTTTTTGCATTTATCTTTAGATAGAGTGGAAGGGAGGGAGGGAGGAAGAGAGAGAGAGAGAAACATTGATGTGAGAGAGACACATTGAGTGGCTGCCACCCACATGACCTCAACCGGGGCCAGGGACAAACTGCAACCAAGGTATATGCCCTTAGCGGGAACCAAATCCGGGACTCTGGTCCGCGGGCCGACGCTCTAACCGCTGAGCCAGACTGGCCAGGGCTCCTGCTCCCACTCTTACACACACTCCATCCCCACCCAGCTCAGGGGGGTAGTCTGCAGTACTGACGAAAGGCAGGGGCTCGTCACATGGCAGACATCCAGGCAGCCTCCACGCCTGCCCTGGAGTCTCTGGTCTGGGGAGGGAGAGGAAATGGGCTCTGTAAGGGCATGTGGGACCCTGGCCACCGGGGGGTCATAACCCCTTCCGGCCTTGGCCGGCCACTGGGAAGGGGCCCTGCCCGGTGGCCATGGTTGCGGTAACAGCCCCAGCTTCTCGGCCTCCCCAGCGGGATACTTAGCTCATCCCATCCCCTAAAGTACAGGGAGTTTGGACTCAGCAGCCCAGCGGCCACTCTTTACTTAGCCAACACGAGGCATTAAGGTGCAGGCAGAGCCGCGTGGGGGCCACCTGGCCAGGCTGCTGCAGTGACAGGCCCAGTGAGCCCTGGCTGGTCCGGCTCAGGGGTTAGAGCACCAGCCTGCGGACCAGTGAGTCACGGGTTTGATTTTGGTCAAGGGCACGTACCTTGGTTGCGGTTCGTCTCCAGCCCTGGTTGGAGTCATACAGGAGGCAACCAGTCGATGCATCTCTCTCACATCGATGTTTCTCTCCCTCCCACTCTATCTGAAGGTAAATAGAAAAGTAAATAAACAGGCCCAGTGAGCATAACCCCTTCCCACTTGGACACCCAGGGCTGCTCCAGACACCTCTGCCCCCTTTCAGCTCCCTTTCATTAAACGCTTTTGGAACAGAAAATGTCGAGGAATCATTTGTCCAGTACCCAAGGGATTTCCCTCTGCAGGAGTCCTGGCGGCACCTGGCACGTCTCCTGCCACAGCTGGGTCCTGTGAGGACTCCTGGAGCTGTCCCCCGTCCACGGGCCAGCTGGCCTCCTCGGCGGAGCGGCCAGGGCGCCGAGCCCCAGTGCGCCTGCTGAGCCTGCCCCTCTCTCCGCAGGAGGCGCATGAAGCGGGTCTGGGACCGGGCTGTGGAGTTCCTGGCCTCCAACGAATCCCGGATCCAGACGGAGTCCCACCGCGTGGCTGGGGAAGACATGCTGGTGTGGAGGTGGACTAAGCCCTCTTTCTTCTCCGACTCTGAGCGATAACCCTCAGCTGGGGCCTGTGCCCAGTCAGCCGGTCCCGGCCAGTCCCCTCAAGGGCTCAAGAGGGCCACCAGACCTGGTGCTGAATTCACACTTGCCTTGACCCTGGTTCCAGGGTCTCTGTGAGACTCCTCCGAGGTTCGCTTAGCAGGAAAGCTGAGCTTCCTTGGAGGGTGGAGGAGAGGCCAGAGGCAGGTGGGCAGCTGGCCTCTGCATTGGCCCGTCCTCTGCCGGCAGGAAAGGGGAAAAGGTTTGTTTTCGTGGATAGAAAAGAAAAGCAGCAGCTGTGAGACCTGCTGAGCGAGCGTGAGGTCGGGTGTGGACATTGGGCAGGGACACAGGTCGGGGGGTAGGCTGGGATGGCAGGGGTCAGGGAGCAGCTTGTTCACGTGCCTTCGGGGTGTCCCCTGGGATCTCTAGCTGGATGGGCCCCTCATCCTGAGGGGCAAGGTGCTAGGAATTAGAACAAGCCCTGTAGGAGAATGATCTAGAAACGCGCGCGGTCGGAGCATGCTGGCCCCTCAGGCCGGGTGTGAGCTGTTGGTGTGGCCTGGGAGGAACCTGGCTAGTCCAGGGCCTGAGAGCAGAGGCGTGTCAGGGCTGCCCAGCCACCAGGGCCGTGCCCGCCCGAGGCAGCCTCCCAGGGTGGACTTCTGCAGTGGTTCCTCGGACAGGAGGCTTTATAGACCAGACCAGCAGCCAGGGCACTGCATCCGGTCGAGAGTGCCGATTCCAGGACGCTGAGCCTCTCTCTCCCAGTGCGGGAGGAGCACCCTGTTTACAGCGACCACAGCCTCCCCACCCGCTGGTTAACCAGCACCTCCAGGACAGGTCCCTTCTGTGTTTCCCGGAGGTGTGAGGGCCACGCCACTGCCCCCTGCTGGCCACAGAGAGGCTGCCTGCACCTCCTCAGACCCTCATGGCTGCCAGAGCCCCGGCCCACCTGGTGGGGGCGGTCTCCAGAGACAGGCCAGTGGGGCCGGAGTCTCATCCCCATACTCTCATCTGCATCAGGCAGGCGAGGGGCAGTGGGCAGATGCAGCAGCTGCCTCCAACAGGCATTATCCACCACTTTCTGGTCTTACTGGTCTTTTTTGTTTTCTTAATAAACCTCCAGTCTCCCACATTTAAGCAACACTCTCATTTCCTCTTATGTCTGGATGATGGGTGGCCCCGTGGCAAAGAAATCGGTTCATAATCAGGCTCCAGCCAGAATAAGAAACACAACAGCCTTCACTACCGGGGTTGAAACAGATAAATAAACGATTTATTAAAAATAGGTGTGCTTTTTCGCTTTCCCCCAGAGCAGTGTATGAGGGGCAGTGGGAGTTCTGAGCCCTGGCTCCGGAGAGGTCGCCTGGAAGAGGGCCAGCCAGAGGGCTGAGCAGGACGCCAGGGCCTGCCTCCTGCGCACCTGACCTCACGGGGCCTGTTCCACATGCACGACAGACGGCGACAGCGGTGCGGGTGAGCTCGCCAGGCAGACACGGTGCCTGAGAGCCTCTTCCCTGGGGCCTCATTCCTCCCCTCAGGCCCCGGGTGCTCAGACCAGCCCTGGGAGTCAGGAAAGAGCAGTGTGAGGTCAGACGGGCTCCTCTGCAGCTGGGGTGACCCTGCGGAGGCAGGAGGTCGGGCTGGCAGCAGAGGTGTCTCCGCGGGGCCTCGGAGACAGTGTGATCTGTGTCTGGGAGCTGCCTGCCGCAGAGGCTGGGCTAGTGCTGGGCCCCCTCTCCAGCAGCAGCACCCCTACTCGGGCACCGGCACGGCAGGTGTGGGGGGAGGCTGCAGGCATTTGGGGTTGGCGCCACGACCCAGAGGGCCTTCCTCTCAGGCAGCCTGGGAGCTGTCCCCAGCCACGCAGGTCTCGCCTGCAGGTGGGGGCGGGCACAGGAGCCTCGTCCTCTGCCCTCCCATCAGGTGGAAACGGGGGGTGAATTGATAAAGGAGCCCATCTTCCCCTTTTCTGTTTTCCAGCAAAAGATTTTCCCTCGCAGTGTTTCTGTAAGCTGGGAAGGGAACTGATGCAGGGCTGTTTCTGTGAGGCTATTTGGAGATCAGGAATGAGATCAAAATAAACGAAATAACAAAAGGCCCCCGCCAGCCCGCCCTCCTTTGTGGGGCACAGCGCTGGGCACAAAGGCCCCAGGGGTCCACAGTCACTCAGATCCCCTCTGGGCGGTCTCGGCTTTGAGGCCGAAGGCAGTGCAGGGCGCTGGGGCCCACGAGGGAGGCCGTCCTAGGGCCTCCAGGGAGGGAGCCCTTGAGGGGCTTCTGTCCCCCCACCCAGCACCTTCCCAGCATCCCCGGATCACAGAGGCTGTGGGTCACTGATAAAGAAGCCTGGGGTGAGAGAGGGAGGGGTGGTACCCACAAACCTGGGCCCTGGACATCGCCCAGGAGCTCCCGGCCCCCTTCTGGAGTCTCAGCTCAGGAAAAGGTAAACACGGCCATTTGTCACTGACATCGTAAGAGCTGCAGCAGCAGCTTCCCCCTAATTAATACACCAATGACTTTGAGCCTCAAAAGATCCCATTGTTGAGGCAGGTGTGCGCCCTCGGATCCATCGTCCTGTGGCCCCGAGGGAGGGCAGGGAAGGGGGCTGCCCTGCACCCACCCAGCTCTGCCAGGACAGCCTCTGGGCAGCCGAGCCGCTCCACCTGGTCACCAGAGAAAAGCAGGCCAGGAGAGAGCCGGCAGGGAAACGGGGCAGGGGGCTGGGTGGGGGCACGGGCACTGCCGCCTGCCGCCAGGTCTCCCGGGCGGTGCCGCCCTGGGGCAGCGTGGACCTGGGGATATGTCCTCAGGGCCAGCTCTGCCCTGCACTGGCTGGGACCTCCAGCTGATCGCTGTATCCCAACAACGGGACGTTATTAAGACTTAAGTTTTTAAATCACCAACACGCGATAGCATTATGACACTCACAGTAAGCTGCAGCCCACCGGGTCTCAGCCAGCCATGCGGAGGTGCGTTGTTATCCCCTTTATAGGGGGACTGAGGCCCGCGGAGATCAGGGAGGGAGTGAAGCGGGTTTGAACCCAGACAGCCCAGCTGCGGAGCCCGTGTTCTCAGCCCTGCTTTCTTCCCTTCGCCAAAGGACAGAGGGGAAGCCATGCTCAGATCTGCTGTGGCTTTGCCAGAACAGAATAAAACCACCTGGGTCCAGAGGCAGAGACTCAGGAGGCTCCTCTCAGCTGCCCTTCTGGTGCCCCGACTCCTGCCCTGAGCCTGTCGTCCCCATTCCACCCACTCTGCTGTCCCCTCCGCCTCGCCTTCGGACCAAACCCCGCACCTGCAGGGCCAGCCCTCGCTACTTCTCTCCTGACACCAGAGGGGCCACAATGTCCCTTCCTGTGTACCCCCTGCAGGTCACCAGCCTGCTCCCCAGGGAAACACCGGCCACACACGGAGCCAGGCTGGACGCCTGAGATAGGCCGGGGCTCACAGGCAGAGAGGGAACCAGTCTTCCCAGATTGGGGCGGTGCTGGACACGGGAGGACCTGCCAGCCCGCAGCAGGCCCTTCCCCTCTGCCAGGCGCCCAAGCAGACAAACCGCAGGCGTGTGGGAGGCGTGGTCAGGAAGGCCTGGGTCTGCACTGTGACCTCTGCAGCCCAGGTGAGGTGAGGAGGGCTCGGCAGATTTCTAAGGAAGGGTTGGAGCTTTCTTCCTGCCAGAAAAGTGGCCCGGCCCATGGCGGAGGCCCCCTCGAGTCCTGGTGGTCCTCCCAGCCCGAAGGGGTCTGGGGAGACTCCAGCAAACCATGGGAGCGCCGCCCGGCCTGTGGCCGGCCAGGCGGTGAGCGAGAAGCATCTAGAGCAGGCTCGGGAGGGGAAGGGCTGTACGCAGGGGCCTGGAGAGGGAAGGGTGGAGAGGTATCACTAGGGATTACAGCCCAATTTTTAAGCGGTTTCTGTTTAGTGAGGAGACAGGGGAAAGTACAGTAATTTTCTTCAATGAAAACAGGCAACAGAATTCCCTTTGCCTCGTTCCCCTTGCAATTAAGCCCTTCTCTGCAAATGAAGTGATTTGGTTTTCACAGGGACTAATTTAAGCGCACTGGAAGGGCCGCTGAACTTTTTGATTGCAAACACCAGCGCGTGCAAAGCAGCCCCAGGCGGCAAAGCCAGGCTGGGAGGCGGGCCTGCTGTGGGCGTGGCTTCCACAGCGCAAGTCCAGCTCCCCTGAAGGACCCCAGAGCCCCACCCCACTGCCCAGTGTGGAGGTGGGGCTGGACCCTGGGGCACACCCAGAATCCTCGGACACACTTGGGGACGGCCACGAGTCAAAGATGCCACCCACTGTCTGCCCCTCCTGTCATTAAGAGGTGCAGCCTGTTCCCTCCCTGGGATCTGGGCTGGCCCAGTGCAAAGTGGCCGAGGGGTACTGGCCAGTTCTGGCCCAGGGTCTTGGAGGCCTTGTCACTTCCACTCTCGCCCTCTTGAACCCGGAGCCACCAACTGAAGAGGAAAGAGTTGCCCTGCTGGAGAGACCCCGTGGGGAGACGGCCGCCCTCCAGCCCCAGCGGTCCCTCCACAGGCCCGCGAACAGATGGGCTGTCCCCACCCAGCCCTGCCCCAAGGCAGGGTCACAAGCAACGCAACGCACAGTTGTGTTCAGCCACCAAGTCCATGTTATTATTATTAGACCTTTTTAATTTGAAATATTTTACAACTCACAGAAGATGCAAAAAGAGTAGAGATGTTTCATGTACCCTTCACCCAGCTCCCCGTGACGACACCCACATAACCACGGCTTATTGTCATCGACTCAGTGTGAGTGTGTGCGTGTGCGTCTGTGACGGAAACAGCGTGGCTGGAATCCCCGCAGTGCGCATTCTCCGCATTTCTCAGTTGAACGGGACAGAAGCACAGCTCAGACACGGCACCCCGGGTGCCCGCACTGCTCTGGCTCACATAGACCCGTGAGCTGAGAGGCGGGCCGGAGCCGCCCCAGCCAGGGCAGGGCAGTGCCTGGGTGCTGGCTGTTCTCAGCGGCCCGCACCTGGCTGCCCCGGTGAGCAGGGAAGGGGGCCCACCTGCGGGCCAGTCACTGGGGATGGCCCCCCGCCCTGGGGTGGGAGCTGCGGGGAGCACCTCTCTGAGGAGGGTGGAGCCGGAGATGGAGAGGAGAGGGACGCAGCCCACTGCAGGCAAACAGGGGGGGGGGGGGAGGCTGAGCCCTGGGCACCGGCCCAGCGTGGACGTGGAAGAACATTCCAGCTGGTCTCAGAGAGGAGTGTCGAGCGTCCAAGTGGTGTGGTGGGAGCTCAGTGGCTTGAAGGACAGGGACAGCTCACGCACAGCAGTCACTGAGGCCATTTGCCAAAATTCCTGGCACAAGAAAAAGTTAGACTTCCCTACTCCTTTGAAATTAGGCATGGCCTTGCGACGCTTTTGCCAATAAAATGTGAAATGGAGTGACAAGTGGCACTTGGAGGAGCAACGGGAGGAGCTGGGACTCCCCTTCCTCTCTCTGCCTAGTGTGATGCCGCAACAGGAGCCCCCCAGCCGGGTCCCGGGGAGATGGTGGGACCAGCACCCCCAGCTGAGCCACAGTGCAGCGTGAGTAAGAAATCCACGCGCTGATAGAAGCCACCAAGAATCTGGGGTCGCTGCCTGACACAGGTAGCTGACTCTTGTCACCTTCCCTGAGGAAGACTGAGCGATCACACTGCCGTGGGGTGTGGGGTGCAGGAACATGCTGAGGCCTCTGCACTTTAGCATCGGTCCTGGGGGTTAGGATGTACTAGGGGCTCTGGGAGCTGGGCCCTGTGCTTGGCAGTGTCCGGCGGGCTCCGCGTGGGCACCTGGGTCCTCCACTGCTGAGCAATCACTGCAAAGACAGGGTCTGGGGTCCCCTGAAGAGAAGGATCCGAGACACAGCAGGCAGCAGGTGCATGAGCAGGGAGTCCTCACCCCACGTAGCCGTGCCGGGCCCACCCCGGGGTGTTTCCAGTGGAGGGCACACACAGCTGCCGGGAGCCCGGGCCCAGGCTAGCTGGCTGGCCTTGACGCAGGCGGGGGGGAAGAGGCCTGCAGGGCCGGCCAGGTCAGAAGCTCTTTAAACAGCAGCCAGTGGAGGGGAGGCGTGGATGTCCCCGCAGTGTCTCATCCCCTACAGGGACACCTGTGCACCAGGAGGGGCTCCCGAGCCCCAGGCCTCTGTGGGGCAGGGTCCCAGGACTCCCACCAGGATCGTCCCGGTGGCTGAGCGAGTTTGTGGAGCCCAGACCAGAGAGGGGCGTGTGCATGTG